AATATAAGAACTTCTTGTCCATTTCTTGCTAAAGGCATTAAGCATTTCTACAGAAAAGGTAGATAAAAGTTGAAGAAAGCCTTCATGCCCCTTCTTCAGCCCTGATTATCATTCTGTAAGTTAGGAAGCCTCGTCACTCTGTCTATCCCAGATATTTAATTACAGGAAGATTCACATAGTAGTACATAAAGATATATTTTGCTCAATGACCCCGTTCAGTCCTTAGGGCCCAGCAGTCTGCTTCATTGTCAAGAAACAATCTACATAATGGATAGATTATACAAAATCAGCTGATTTGAGAGAAATAATATTCTAGTTTCATAGTAAGAGAACTGCAGAAAGCCTCTTGATGTATAGTATTGTTTTACTATTGTTTGTGAGCCACCCAGATTATGGTGCTATACAAATCTTTTAAATGAATGAATGAATAAATAAATGCCTGTGAGGGATCTAGTGGTCCTGTCATGACTGGAGGCTCACTATTCCTATAGCATATGTCTTTAACATACTAAACCAAGAGATATTTATATTTATTTATTTTTATGCAATTTGACATTCAATGACTCAGTACATAAACTTAGTGTTTTTCTAAAGAACATGGATCCAAATATGTATCTGTCTGAAGGCCTTAAGTGGTGATTCTGGTTTTATTCCCACTATTCTTGCCAACTGCTCTATACAAATTTCTAGATACTCTTACACAATGGCTGCACAGAACCTTAAGCATTCAGAGAACAACTACCATGGAGTATATACTGTAAGCATGTTAAAAGAATTATTTCAATAAAATATGACCCACTACCCTCTCCTTACCAATCACTATCCCAATCATTTTTTCTGGACAGACTACAAACTAAGCACGGGACCCACTAAGCTAATGGGCTCCATCTTGGACTTAGAAGCATTTTGGAAAGTCAGGTGATATTTGGCACTGATATTTTGTTTTCATGTATGCCTGCCTTCTATTTCTTTTATTTTTAAACTCTAACAATATAGGTGGTATAGAAAATATGCCCAGTACTTCAAAAATTATCCTGGAACACTACAGTAAAGAAACTGGAAGCACCTTCAGCTTTAAGGGAATTTTTTCCTTGTCTGTTTCCTGTTGAACAAGAACTTCTACCCTTTATGAACAAGCAGAGAGCCTCTGGGGGAATGCACTGTGCATGTAGAGGCCCTTTATTTCAAGTGAATTCAAATGGAAAAGAAAGACATTGTAATATGCAGCCTTTATTTAATGAAAGTGTACTACTTCGGGTACAACGCCTACCTTCTTTACAAGGCACCCTTTGGCATTCATCAATGTGTTCAATTATCTTGAAAAGCCAGAAAGGTAACATAAAAATACTTCCCTGTATTCTCTGTTCCTTTGTAATTTTTTTGTCTTATACGTTCCCTCAGGAATGTATGAGGAAAAACCTATCTGAATAATTTATAGAAGCCTTTGAGGAAACAAGCTTTTCATTTTGAATAAAGAAGTCAGATAAAGTGGAGAATTATAATTCTTCAATTGAGCTCTATGCACTACAGGTTTAATTTGAATAAGCATTCTGAAATGAAGTTTTAACACAACGAAATTACATTGGACAGATCAATATATAATAAGTCTAATGTTATTAACTTAACTAGCAAAGGATAATTTTGTGATGAAGTACTTTTGTCTCCCACAGTAGAGAATGTGAATTATAACACAGACATGATATCTAGGATACAATCCTTACTCTAGTTCCCACACTGTTCTAATTCTATGCTTGCAGAATACTGTTTCATAAACTATAACACCGTTAAACAACTTGAAAGTGTTTGACAAAAAGAACACAAGCTTTTCCGTGATAAAATTCTGAAGATCCTGTTTTTTTCTTCAACATATCTTTGTAAAGTCCGGTTATTTTCTCTTTGTATCTTATATCTTATATATTTTATACTTATCTATATATATAAATGCAAAAACCACTCACACTGTAATCACAAAATCTCCAGAACCGTAAAGCCTACAAACGTGAAATTTGCCACATATGTTCCTCTTGGCTTCTAGGTGCTCACTAAGAAAGGATTTTTCGAAATGACCATCAGAGCATTAGTATTTCCTATGTTATGATTAACCTGCTCTGATGCTAAGGAGTTCTACTCCCCCTCCCCACCTGAAAAGAAATCTGTTCCAAATGCAAAACACAAGCAGAGGAGAAGAGTTTCACTTTCACTTTTACTTTCACAGCAGCAACCAAGGGATAGGATAGGGGAGGCATCTGTGGGGCAAGCCTAAGGGAGAGAAGTGGATAGGATAGGAGAGGCTTCTGTGGGGCAAGCCTAAGGGAGAGAAGGGGATAGGGGAGGCTTCTGTGGGGCAAGGTTGAGGGAGAGAGGATAGGATAGGGGAGGCTTCTGTGGGGAGGGAGAGATGGGGATAGGATAGGGAAGGCTTCTGTGGGGAAGGCTGAGGGAGAGAAGGGGATAGGATAGGGGAGGCTTCTGTGGGGCAAGCCTGAGGGAGAGAAGAGGATAGGATACAATAGGGTTCTGTGGGGCAAGGCTGAGGGAGAGAAGGGGGTAGGATAGGATAGGGTTCTGTGGGGCAAGGCTGAGGGAGAGAAGGGGAGAGAAGAGACCAATCGTAACTACTCATTAATTTTCAAGCTGTAAGTGTCGATTTATCAAGCCTGATCAGTTTCGTAGCGAAGCATATACATATAAAGACTGTCTTTAACATCATCTACAGACTATGCAAAAGAGATAATCCATCAGCCCAAAAGGGAACAAAAAGACGAAGCACCTCTTACCAGCAATCTGCACCCAGAGCAGCATAGATTAACTCCAAGGTTAACTTCAGACCAACAATCAAGTAAACAATACCCCAATCAAGAAACTGCCAAAGAGCCAACAGTAAAAAGTCCAACCAAAGAATCTCTAAGACCGCCCCCACCAACACTGATAGGCAAGCCACCAGAATATAAACTGACAGCAAACAGCCTTCCTTAAGTGCTGTTCTTAAGAAGGGGTCAACCTATTTTTCAAAGCACCAAAAGGCAAGTCAAGAAACAATGGATGGAAACTAATTAGGGAGAAAAGCAACCTAGAACTAAGGATAAATTCTTAACAGTGAGAACAATTAACTAGTGGAACAGTTTGCCTTCAGAAATTGTAGGTGGTTCATCACTGGAGGCTTTTAAGAAAAGAATGGACAGTTGCTTGTCTGGAATGGTATAGGGCCGTGATGGTGAACCTATGGCACTCAGCACCCTCTCTGATGGCACATGAGCTGTAGCCCCAGTTCAGGTCTGCTGTGCATGCACGTGCGCCTCCCGCCAGCCAGCCGGTCTTTGGGTCTCTGCCGTGTATGCGGGGTGCCACGTGCATATGTGTAGGGGGTGTCATGTGTGCATGCAGAGGGTGGGGCTACGCACACATGCAGGGGTGGAGCGCATGCGCGGGGGCCATGCACACATTGCATTTTGGGGGTTTGGATGCTCACGCGCACATTCAAATGTGCGCGTGCACACACTTTGGGCACTCTGTCTGGAAAAGGTTAGCCATCACTGGTATAGGGTCTCCTGCTTACGCAGGGGGTTGGATTAAAAGATCTCCAAAGTCCCTTCCAACTGGGTTATTCTATTAAAAGAGGAATTTCAACATCTTCTAAAGCTAAGACAAAGGATCAAAATAGGGTGAAAGATAGTTAAAATAGACTGAATGATGGCCAAACTGTTTTTTTAAACAAATATTTCTCAACTTTAACTTTAAGCCGTGTGGATTTCAACTGCCACAATTCCCCAGGCAGCTTTCTAGGAGTCCAAGTCCACACAGCTTAAAGTTGCCAAGGTTGAGAAAGGCTGTTCTATAAATTGATGCTGTCATAGGCAAAGCTGATCTAATGGGATACCACTAAGTTTTATAACCAATGCACATAAAGAAAAATAAAAAGTATTATTAAACATTATTTTAATATTGCTTTATTTAATCAGAGATTTTTCTTGAAACTTTTAAAAAACATTATCTAAGACATTTCGTACATTCACTGAAGGTCCACCTAGAAAAGAAGTTAATAACATATTTATTGGGTTGTGCAAAGCATTTGGGAAAGACATTTCATAAAGCATTTGTACTGGCAAAGCATTTCTACCATGCTAAAGCCACCCTGAGCTTAGGACAGCTAAGGCATCTTTTTGCAAGGCTGTTCCCAATTCTGTATGTGCACAGAGACAATCTTTCTGCTGAGGCTGCCAGCAAAGAGAAAGGGCATGCATATAATAGTGCAGATATAGCTAGCTAGAAACTAGCTATTTGCAGTGAGAAAAAATCATGCAATGAGATGTCTCATCTCAGTTGTGCTGAGCAAGCAGATAAAGTAATAACTATAAGACCTCTTAATTTTTACAGTGTTTATTTGCACTATGAAAATGAACTGGCATCAAGCTAAAGCAAGAATACTCATAATGTACACTTAAAAGAAATTATAAATACATGGGAAATATAGAATATAGACAACACAGAGAATATCCAGCAATTTACAGGATTGTGAAATTAAACCCATGGTTGGCATGCTAGTATTTTATTCTAATTTCAGTTGATTGATTTCAATAAGATAAAATAAATACCCAATGAATAGAATAGAACAGAACATTACATTACACTACACTAAATGAATATATTAATGAACAATTTGAAACTGCTGCAGTTTTACAACCCTGGGCCCATTTCCTACAGAATGTTATTATTTTATTTCAAATATATAAGATATTTTCTCTTATTTTTATAGCATTAATAAAACAGATCACCATATTTAAAAAACATTTTGTTTCTCTCCTTTTCTAAATGTGGTTATTAGAACTACTGCAGATCAGATAAATACCAATGGCTCAAGAATTCATGTTAACAGAATTTATCCCACATATATTTTTACAGTTGTCGAATACATTCTAATTATTGAATTGATAAATATTCCTATAGTGTTTTAAGCAATAAATCTATCTTTTTATACATTATGCGGCATAAATTGAACTTACCAATCTTTGCATACTTTTGACATGTGTAGGACTAATAGATAAGGCCTCTTCATACCAGCGCTTGGCTTCATCAGTATTTCCCCGAAGTTCTGCTACCTGACCTCTCATGTAGAGAACATTGTGAGACATAGGAAAGAGGTTAGCAGCTTCCTGAGTACAAGCAGTGGCTTCTGCAGGTTTTCTAATTCCTATGTATACTTCAGCTGGAAACAGGAAGCAGAGAAAGAAAAAAGAATGAACAATTTCCCACAAGTATAAATGCTTTTTATCTTGCTGTTCACTCAGCTTTCCAGAAAATTACTTCCAGTAAAAAAGCAGTCATAGGCAAGAAGCCATTCACGATATGGGAAAACATGTTTGCCCACTCTTTTTATGATTGATCTACCATTACTCCTTTCCTCATCAGATTATAGGGCCCCTGCCATTTTTTATAAAATATGCCTGTGACTGTAAAGGAACTGTAATCTTACAATTACTATTAGTATCAAAAGTAAATTTTCTTGCAGCACTTTAAAACATGTGCTAAATAACTAAGAGTCTCAAATAACATGTTATGGGACTCCAGCATTTTGACACAGCTTGAAACTAGGAAATATTGCAAAAAGTATTGTCTAGCTTAACATCATACACTGTGGAAGGCTTTTTCCTTTAGAATATTTTACTTCTTAAGTTATTGTTCTTTTGCCAACTTCAAAGTCTTCTCTTCATATTAATTTTAAAAAGCATGCACGTTTTTTATTTCTATCATAATATATATTATCATTCATTCTTGTCTCCATGAAAATGAACTGATTATTGCCTCCATGAAAATAAATAACTGAATCCCAAATATTAGTCTTATTTTAGTTAATGTTCTTTAAATAAAATAATTTTCATCAAGTAATCTAAAAATGTACTTAATCTGTCAGACGGATGCTCCCTAGTAATGTTTTTAAACTGTTTGGTGGAAGAAAGAGAAAATAAATATGATAGAAGTTAAAAGAAAAATAACTCCCAGACCCATAGTTTGTAACAGTCAATTACTTAGGGGGGCCCAATTAATCTATCTAGTTACTGTGTTTCCCCAAAAATAAGACCTTGTCTTATATTTTTTTTGAACCCTGGAATAAGCGCTTGGCCTTATTTTCGGGGAGATCTTATTATTTTGGGGTGCATGGAGGAAACCAGAGCAAATGGCGGGGACCGGCTACTCATGCATTTAAATATTTTTCGGGGAGGGCTTATTTTCGGGGTGGAGGGCTTATTTTAGTGCATGCACTAAAAAGTCCAATTGGGCTTATTGTCAGGGGATGTCTTATTTTAGGGGAAACAGGGTACCTGTATATATTTGATCATGTTGAAGCTATAAAAACAGAACTACAAGTTTTGGTATCTAATTTTGATTGAAGATCAGTTATTCTGGCTCTAGTATCTTTAAAAAAAAAATCATAAAAAATATTCTAGGATAAACCGGACACATTATTGCAGAGGCCAGAAATTTAATTCATTGAAATAGCAGAGTATCTGTTGTCCCTCCAAGTAGTATCAGCAGTCCTCCCACCCCAATCAAATAATGAAAGGAATAACTAAAAATAGGGAGAGGGTGATATTTTTATTTAAGATCTGATGTCAACATTTTAAAGCATTATATAACAACTGTGATTCTTTTATATCTGCAGTATTCATGTTCTGAAATCTTTAACTTTGTTTTTAGTAAAATTATTGTTTCAATGCTGTTCTTCTCTCAGGGTATAGAGATTTTTTAAAAATGGTTTGTGCTATGGAGTGGGGTATGCATGTTGATTGCTCAAAGGGAACATCACATTTTTTTAGAACTGCCATGTAATTCCTCAGATATTACTAGACTAGTTTTTTTAAGATCCCAGCTTGTAAAAATAATTTTAAAACAATGTGTGATGACCTTTTTAAACGCATATATGGAAATGGATGAAGCCTAAAACAAAAACTTATATGCAGCTATTACAATAAATACATAACATACAAATGTGCAATATAAACAGCCGAGAATTCTAAACCCAGTTTTAATTATGTCCACATTTTATTATAGTGGTGTTAATTTATAGAGCTATTAGAAACTGTTTTATTTCCTGTCAATGTTTTCCTTCCTCAATGTAAAAAATATGTACAACACACTCGGATTTCAATACTTTATGACTGTATTTCAACAGATGTTGCTTCTGTCCCAGCACTGCTAAATTTTTGGACTCATCTTCTCTATGTTGTCTATCTAAGCAGGTGCTATAACTACTACCAACAACAACAACAACACAGCAATTATTATTGTTAATGCTTATATCTTGCCTGACTCCTGATGGGTCAAGAGTCAGACCTCATCTGGGTGGTTTACAAATTGTTAAAAACATTTAAAAGCAAGAAAGCAACACAAAGGAACAAAGATGGCGGATGTAACAAACCTGGATAGGAACAAAGAAAAAGAAGAAAAGGGCTTCACTCTTTTTCACTAACAGCCTGGCCCAAGAACCACGTTCTTCAAGGCCCTTCAAAACACCAGTAAGGTGAGGAATAATTGAATCTCAGGGGGAAACTCATTCCACAAGGCAAGTGCTGCTACAGAGAAGACACACTTTCGGAAACCCAATAGATGACATCCAAAGAGCACCATCCTGCCAGATGGGATCAACCAGACAGATATTGTGGGAAACAGGCAATCCCTGAAGTAACTAGACCCGTGATGGCGAACCTATGGCACGCGTGCCACAGGTGGCACACGGAGCCATATTAGTGGGCACGCCAGCTCAGCTCTGGGGCGCATGCGCGCGCCGGCCAGCTGATTTTCGGGCCTTCTGGGCCCACCAGAAGTAGGGAAACAGGCTGTTTCCTGCCTCTGGAGGGCCTGGGGGTGGGGTGGGAAAGGCCCGTTTTTCTTTCTTACCTGGCTCCAGATCCTCTCTGTGTATCTGGAAAGGGCGAAAACAGCCTTTCCCACACCCTTGGAGGCCCTACGGAGGCTGAAAGGGCCCATTTCCCGACTCCCGCTGGGACAGGAAGTGACGTTTTTTTCTGTCCCCAGCCTCCAGAGACACCTAGAGAGGCTCCTAGAGACTCCTAGAGAGGTTCTGGAGGCTGGGGACAGCAAAAAATGTCACTTCCTGTCCCACCGAGAGATGGGAAATGGGCCCTTTCAGCCTCCGTAGGGCCTCCAAAGGAGTGGGAAAGGCTGTTTTCGCCCTTCCCAGATACACAGAGAGGATCTGGAACCAGGTAAGAAAGAAAAACAGGCCTACCAGGCCATCATGTGCCAGGAGCAGGGGGGAGGGGGTTGCGCACGCATGCGCCCCCCCTCTCCTGGCACGCAATGGCAAAAAGGTTAGCCATCACTAAACTAGACCATATGCCATATAAGGCTTTACAGGTAGCAACCAACAATTTGAATTGCACCTGGTAATACACTGGCAACCAGTGCACTCACAAAGCAAAATGTTATATGGACATAGCAAGGCATTCCCATTACTGCCTGCATTGCTACATTCTGGATCATTTGAAGTGTCAGGATGATCTTCAAGGTCAGCCTCACATAGATTACATTGTGGTAGTCAAGCTGTGAGGTGACGAGGGCACAAGTGACAGTCTGAACAGCTCCTGATGTAGGAAATGGTGTATCTTTGGGACACCAAATAAAGCTTCCTGGCCACCTGTTCTGCCCACCTGCCCTAAATTGCATAGTAATCTGGATTGCGAAGTTCTACCATATACAAGGCCAGAGATAAAATATTCTCAGATCTGGGTAGCCCAAACACGCACAGCATTTGGTTTTGGTTGATCAAGTTGGAGACAGATTCTCCCTGTCAAAAACTTCATAGCCTGCCTACACTGTCGAGGGGTAGAGTCTCAACAGGCTAACTTGGCTGGCCAAGAGTTGCAATATACAACTATCATTATTGGGTATCATCATCATACATTGGGCATACTGATGTTACTGAACCCAAACTGGCAGATTACCTCACCCAGCAGTTTCATTTAGATGTTGAAAAGTAGAGGAGAATAGAATCTTGAGGTATCCTACAAAAAGGGGGCCTGGGGAACAATTTCTCTCTACCCACCAATATCAATTGAAACTGTCACTGAAGAAAGAAGTGCAGTAAAATGGTCCCGCCAGATTCCCAACCCATGAAGCTGGCTTAGAAGTATTGAAATCCACCAAGAGCTCAAGAAGCACAAAGATAGATGCACTAAGATCCCTATATAGTATATATACTACCAAGAGCCTTGGTAGTACAGTGGTCTAAGGCACCCTGTTATTAAGCTGGTTATTAAGACCAGATGCCTGCAATTACTGCAGGTTCGAATCTCGCCAAGGCTCAAGGTTGACTCAGCCTTCCATCCTTTCTAAGGTAGGTAAATTGAGGACCCAGTTGTGGGGGCAATAAGCTGACTTTGTATAAATATACAAAAGGATGAAGGCTATTGCTGAGCACATTGTAAAGCCGCCCTGAGTCTCCGGAGAAGGGCAGCATATAAATCAATTTTTTTAAAAAAAACATTTATATGAAGCCGCTGGGAGAGATCATCCGTGGTTTCGGGGTGAAACCAACCGAGGCTCCAACTGGTCCAGAATGTGGCTGCGCAGGTTGTTATGGGGGCTTCACGTTAGTCCCGTATTACACCTCTCCTGCGCGAGCTGCACTGGTTACTGGTGGTCCTTTGGATCCGCTTCAAGGTGCTGGTACTTACCTATAAAGCCCTTCATGGCATAGGCCCGGGGTACTTGCAGGATCACCTTCTGCCTGCCTCCAACCGCCCAGTGCGCTCACATAGGATTGCCCTCCTCCGGGTCCCATCGGCCAGACAATGTCAGCTGATGGCACCCAGGATGAGGCCATTCTCTGTGGGCGCACCGACCCTCTGGAATGGTTTACCCACTGGGCTCCGGATGGCCCCCGAACTCCGTTCTTTCTGCGCTGATCTGAAGACATGGCTTTTCCAACAAATTTGCTGATCTGATGGGAGTTTTAACTAATCTTTTGGGGATTTTAATTGAGTATTTTAGTCGTAATTTTATTGTTTTATTGTTTTATCTTTGTGAGCCGCCCCGAGTCCTTCGGGAGAAGGGCAGCATATAAATATAAATAAACTAAACTAAACTAAACTATTGCAGACCACAAACCTTATTTTGAATTCTGAATGATGACAAGCTAGTCTTTGTATTCTGTTTTGTCCACTTTTCTTGTGAATTAATTTGCCA